TAATAGTATGAGGAACTTCAGTTTCCTAAATGTACTCTTAATAGCACGAGGAACTTAAGTTTCCTAAAATGGGTTTTAATGGATTTATTAATTAAACCTTTTCCTTTTAACTTATCAGATTTTTGGATGAGGCCATTAAAAGGCCTCAGTAAAATACCAAACATAAAAGAGTTGGTCTAGTTCTATTAATAGAGCTTTATTTACTTTTCAATTTTGTTTATATCTGAATACTTCGGTAGCGATAGGTTTCTAGGGACTGTTAACGTTACCTAGTTGATCCTCGGATAAGCCAACCAGATGTGCCAGTCTGATGAAGGCTAAGTCGGTAATTCTTGATAGGGATAATATTATTTATTTCAAAAATGGCAAGTATGTATGATACAATGTATGAACATATGGTATGGCTCTCATAGTCGCTGTATGAGAAGAAGTGGTCAGTAAATTCCCGTTTGAAGCTTGGGCCAAGTGAGTCGACAATGGAAGATATGTGCTGAGTCAATTCGGGCCGGTGTTGACAAAACACTGTTACTATCGAATGTTCCATATATTTGCTTGCTGACCTAATAAGTAGAGTACCCACCTTTGTGGTACGGATCGGATCTGCGCCGTGTAGTGCCGCGGAATGGGTTAGTGGCAAGTTATTGGTTAAGACAATAACTGAAGACGTCAAGAGTATTTTTATTTTTTGTTTCTTTTTTCTAAAGATAGGATTTTATGAGTCACTCGGATTCGCCCCAGAATAGAGCGACAACGAAACACTAAATAAAATCCCTTCGGCGGAAACAGTACTGAGAGGATTATATATAGGCAATGTCTCAGCCTCACAATCCCTCAGAGTATTGTTGTTTTCACGAGGCAAACCTAACTTTATTAAACGTCCCATTTCGTTTATTTATATCGATATTTACACGATATATAGAATTTACCTACGCATTTATTTATTCTAAGGCATTAGTATCGCCTTTGTTAGACCGAATCTTACATGCTCAGGAACAAACTACTATCCTCACTAGAAGGGGTCTATTCACCAAATGACGTCTGACATCAGACTCATATCTCGCACATCCCAGAAGCTAGATTCGGATGCCTCGTTGTCTTCAAACTGGAGAGCGACGCAAAGAAAGCAGGTCATAAATATGAATTCAATGGCAGCTTTGGCGTACTTCTCGGCCGCAGCAAGCACAGCACCCCCGAAAGCCTCCGGATGTAATATCAGCATGATACTAGAAATAACAAACTTGTCTATTACGGCGATATTAACGCCTTAGAGTAAATAAACGCGTAGGTAAATTCAAATATCGTGAAAATATCAAAGTAAATAAACGAAATGAGACTTTTAGTAAAGTTAGGTATGCCTCATGAAAACAGCAATACTCTGAGGGATTGTGAGGCTGAGACATTGCCTATATATATTCCTCTCAGTACTGTTTCCGCCGAAGGGATTTTATTAGTGTTTCGTTGTCGCTCTATTAGAAACTATGGCATGTTTCGTTAGGGCGAATCTGAGAGACTCATAAAATCCTATCTTTAGAAAAAGAAAGAAAAAAAAGAAGAAAATAATACTCTTGATGTCCTTAGTTTTTGTCTTAACCAATAACTTGCCCCTTATCAAGAACTTCCGACTTAGCCTTCATCAGACAGGTATATCTGGTTGGCTGATCGGTGGATCAACTAGGTAACGTAAATAGTCCCTAGAAACCTATATTCGATTGAGCCATCTCGCTACCGAAGTATTCAGACATACATAGAGTTGGAAATTAAATATAGTTCTATTAATAGATCTAGACCAACTCTTATGTTTGGTATTTTACTGGGGCCTTTTAATGGCCTCGTCCAAATATCTGATATGTAAAATGGAAAAGGGATAAACTAATAAAACCATTAAAAACCATTTAGGAAACCTAAGTTCCTCATACTAACAAGAGTACATTTATAATTTACGTACTGCTTAAGAGTACGTTTATAACATAGAGTCTAATTTGGAGGTCCGGCTATTACATCTCGGACTAACGCCCACATTGGTCACCTATACAACGACAAGAGGTCCACTCAGTTGGACATCCCGGGACCTTATGACATCCTCAACGACTGTTTTACTTTGCCCATTGTTCACTCTACTCCCATTCCTTTTGTCAGCATCATACCGCCCGACGTTGCGACCCTGTCAAACCCAGTGGCATCTCATCACTCCTACTCATTGCCCCAAGTCGCACAGTTTGTTACCTCCAATGTTCACATCACTCACCCCCACAGGTACGTACGGAACCTCGTCAATCTGGCCCACTGCCCCCCATATCGCCACCTAAACCCCTCTATACGACGACAAATTCAATCAATTCATTCGACTCGGCCCTTGTCTAATATACTCTCAATACTATTTATGACCTCAGCTCTACTTCCAATTTCTCCTACGCTCATATTCAAGATTACCATCAGACGCCAGCCATCTTGCACACTCATGGTGGCTCTCTCATTCCTCACGGTGATCCGGACGATTCCGACGACCAATTTTTCAGCACACTCTGGCCCACAGTGAAAGCGCTGACAAGCCTACCGACTCACCTGTCAAGACAAATCCAACACTGTTATAAATATTACAGATACAATATCAGTTCGGTACCAAGTATTGTACATAAAGATGAACTGACACCTGTCATAGTGTCGTAAGAGATACGACACTTATAACAGAGTACTTTGCACTTACATGTGAACAATATACTTATAGATGACTAAGTGAAGGATATATATATATATATATATATAATCCTTCCTATAGGATGAAATAAAGTTATACGTTACATGATTCAATATGCCCCTTATCATCACAGTCGACAACGGCGTCTCACGGACCACGGTCCCACGGTCACTTCCGCCCAGATCAGTGCCACTGTCGAGTACACCTGCTGCGCGATCCGTTCAACCCTCGGTCCGTCCTGAAATCTATTGGAAATTCTCAGTGCTCTATATATACTTTTCATTTTTTTATGTACATACTGAACTCTTTACGGAGTCTTTTCTTGTATCATCATTTTTTGAATTGTCATTGGAAAAGCAATTTGGGGGTTTAACCTTTTTTGTCAATTGAAGTAGGCTCTGGATTTTCCATGTGATTATTCATAGCCCTCAAAAAGACATAGAAGGCTATGGATTCTTTTAGGATATCAGAACTTGTAATCACCTTTCATTGGCCATTGCTGGTTTCGTTTATTTTTCATTTTTTACAGTTGATAGGAGTTTAAAAAAAAAGGAAAAAAAAGGGACAGTACGAGATACATAAAGGACGCTGTGACAGTCAGAAAGTGTGTGACCAGAGTATGTAGTGGAGTCTAACTCTGGTGACCCTAGATATTTTCCTTTTTATATATGTATTTTTTTAAGACCACAAATAGCACCCAAAAGTATGCATTTGTTTTAAAATTAGTTGTAAAAAAAAAACACATACATATTGTTAAAGGTTTTTATTTTATAATAAAGAACCAAAAATAAAACAGCAATGATATTTTACATAAATACATGGCTTGATTAGCCTCCCCTCTATTCAAATGGAGGCTATGTATTTTGTAAAAAAATAAATACTGGAATACGTACTGTAACAGTGTAAATACACAGTGAACAGCATCACCGTCATCACCGTGTTACAAAAAAAAACAAAAACAAATATATAAACAGAGCAACTATCATTCTTCAATTCTTGGGCTCCTGGCCCCTGGGCCTTGGGGCCTAGTTCTAGTTATCTACTAGTAGAGTAGGCAGTACACTGCTCCTGGGTTCTGGCCCCTGGCCCTGGGTTGTTTTGGACTTGGAAAAGTTGGAATATTTATTCGGAATTTCGGAGTGCCTATTTTGGTTTAATTTTTTTAATTTTTTGTTTATAATACAAAAAAACATAAAAACGAAACAAACTGCAAATGTTGAAATGATACAAAGTCAGAAAAAAAAGCAGCTTTTTGACTTTGTGCTATTTTACGTCCTATCACCACTGCATCTGGTTGGCTGGTTTAACCAATATAAAAAAATCATTTTGACGCATTTGTGCACAGAGTATCCTCCTCGATATACATACCACCAAAAATCCAAGATTGAAAATGCCAAATGGTCCACAGTTTGTCAGTTTTGCAGTCCACAGTCCCTGAGCTGGTAAACGACATGTCTTTTGCCTATGGCGACACGTCGCGACGGTCGTTTACATATTTTTTTAGGGACATGTCGCAACATTGGTGTCGCGACATGTCTTATGGCCGACTCAAGATTGAAGAAATTAGAGCCTCTGAATCATCAATATCTGAAAATTTCGCCAATCTCCACGGAACCTTTCATCGATTACCAATGGGTGAATGTGAAAATTATGAAAGTTTCCGACTATATGTATGACAACATGTCCAGTATGTATATCGAAACGACATACGACATGTTTCAGACGACACGTCGCGACGGTCGTTTACATGTTTTTTAAGACGACATGTCGCGACCTCATGCCAGCCCAGCACAGTCCACAGTCCACAGTCCACAGTCCACAGTCCACAGTCCACACTCTACAGTCTACACTCCACAGTGTGGCTCAGTCCCACGGGCCACAGTGGCGAGTTTAAAAGCGACTATGTAAGTAGACTCTGTGATCAGACTGTAGTCTGTAGTCTGTACTCTGTAGAGAAGGAGCAAAAGCGAAGGAATGAAGGACAAGATGAAGTGGGCTATAGTGACAGCCTATGTACAGGGTACAGGCCGCAGCCCAGGCCCCAGTGGCAGGGCCCTCTGACTCTCTACTACTCTAGACACTAGAGAGCGAGAGAGAGTAGAGAGGGCCCTAGCTCTCTTGAGGGCCCTCCAGAGTAGAGAATAGGCCCCTGGCGGCAGTGGTAGGTCACATACTCGAGAAATTTTGATGCCACCACTGTAAGAGCCACCTAAACCGCCACCTACAGATCGAGCCACTTAAATTGGCCACCATTGTAAGAGCCACCTATAGTCGTCACCTACACCCATTATTGACACCATCCATGAAAATTCTGACACGAAACCACCATTACTATAGTAATCACTATAGTAAATCACACATGCGTACAATACATAGTATATGTGTGTAAACACCACGAAAATTGAGCGTTATATCGAGTTTGTATTGAGCTGTACTGAGAGATTATATAGCTAGTAGACATTAAAGTGAGACCGAAAATCATGTCAGTCAAAGTGGAGCGTAAGTCACAGTACCATCCGGGAGAGAAGGATGTAAAGACCGGTGTACTCTTTGAACTTCCAACTGGAGTTCACGAGGTTGTTAATGTAGATGCTTTTGGAGATTGTGGGAATTTATCACTTCTAGAAGATCCTATTTTTGAGACATGGACAGTCAAAAAGCTACGAAGTGTACTCACAAGTCTGGAGACACTTTTATTCGTTGATACTGCAAACAATCTGCTTGGAACCCACAGTGGTACATTAGCATTGGAAAGTTGGCGCACCGATCAAAGAAAAGAAAGAGAGTGGATGGATTATGTAGTGATGTTGGCGGTACTTCTGGTATTCAACGGGTAACGCGGGAAGTAGTCAAGAGTCTTCTTCGCCAGACGGACTCTTATAATCGTGGTGATTGCAAATTGAAGAGAGCGAGGACAATAAATACATACAAGATTAAATTTCGGTTCAGACAAAACATGTCTCAATACACACATATACGCGTATTATTAGGCATAAATCATACTAAGAATTCTTTTAATTTTATTGTGTATACACGTACAGTATACTATGGTATCGCGTAGGTGGCGACTGTAGGTGGCTCTTACAATGGTGGCCAATTTAGGTGGCTCGAACTGTAGGTGGCAGTTTAGGTGGCTCTTCCAGTGGTGGCATCAAGATTTCTACAGTCTCTAAATAATACTCAATTTTGGACACACTATTCAGGACAGTGGGCCTGTGCTACGCTCATAACGTTGTGGGGGTACGGGATATAAGTTGAGCGTAAACGCATATTTATTGGATTTTAAAACGTTATAGCGGTTATAATGTGATCAGAAGGGCCTACCTAAGTTCTTTTATAGGACTGGTTCGTATCGTGAACATGATACACACTTTAAAGACCCGCAAGTTACACCTATGAGCATACAAAGGACCGCATATGAAATAAAAGCTGAACGTAAACGTATATATTTTTCGATTTATAAATGAAAAACGGTATGAGGTTAGGCCTGGGCTGCTGAGGTTTGAGGTCTCAGGTCCGGCTCAGGCAGACATGTAAATAGGACCTGCCGGGACTCCACTAAATAGGGAAATATTTATTTTTTGAAAAATTGACTGCATATCCGTGATCTCTGATAGTGATCTGGGCCCTGGGCCTGGGGACTGGACAATAGACATCCTCTCTCTATGGTCTATAGCCTTTACCCTTTGCTGATCCTCTAGAAACCCGTAGTATGACAGCCCAACAGCCTGACAGGGCTGGGGGCCGGGGTGCTGGCCGCTGGGCCTGTGAGGAGTGGCCTGTCTGTGTGCTGTGGCTGTGAGGCTATCTACAGCTAACAGTCCAGCACAACAAGAGCACAAGAAGTCGCCAAAAATTAAAAGAAAACTGTACTATTATTATGTAAAAGACTAAAAGTGTGTGCATACTGTGTAACTGTGTAATGATGTAAATATATTATGTCGGCCAACAGATTGACCAATGACCAGTATCAATCATTACTCTCGAAATATTAGATGGCTTTCATCTTGGAGTAAAAAGTAAATATTATATCCCACACCCGAGTCCCAGAGACAAAAAGTTGAACTCTGGAGTCAGGACAGCCACCGCCAGGAGACGACACTGTATTTACAAAACCGAAAACGTCGCTATTTGTCCTTTGTATATATCATATATGCGTGTAGGTAGTGAAATATTTACACCCGAAATGACGAAACTGGTAACGCGTTAATGAATCAGCGATGTGCAATTGCATATATACTATAGAAGACCACAAAGCATATCCTCACTCAAATGTACAATCCAGCACAACACTGCTTTCCGATGTAAGTGTGTGGAAAATAATGGCGAGTTGCATGTAAGCGAGCGTTTGAAATAGCATAGGAAGGCATGTGTTTTACACAATGTCTACTAGATATTTTGAATACAATTACGAAGCGGATTTGGATAGGTTCACGCAAGTTGCTGGCGACAAGATGTTTAATTACCGTGTACGAAATATAAATCCAAAATACGACCAAGTTCAGTACGATGGAGAAGATACAGTGCTGAACACAAGCGCGTATAAATGTGAGCGCGTATTAAGAACAAATAGGAGCAGAGATAAAGATTCAATGGGTCCACCTTCGGTTTGTCGATTATCCCCACACGGGTTCACCTATCGCAGCGCATCTAAGGAGAAAGGCTTGCAGAATCGAAAGCGGAGCATCAATTTGGTAGAGGAACCCACCGGCAATACACAGACATCAGATAATTATGACCTAGCTTCCCACCATATGGCGTGGTTCGATCATGAGGAAGTCATTGCCATAATTCTCCGCCATGGCCGCAATAGTAAAACTGACGAGCTTCTCTGCCCCTTGAATATTTTGAGAGAGGTTCAAATTAACCTTGTGGTCTCTATCGCCCTTCATGAGTTACCAAGTAAAAAGTTATTTGATTCTTGTCTGCGAAGTCCAGAGAAAGCTGCTTGTGCAATCCGTTCTTTTACCGAAGGTTCGAGGCTAGGGTGCGTGTCAAAGCTGTCGAAGCTTTACGTGGGTTGGTGGAATACTGCATACAATTGCACAGGCACAGATGTTGTGCGTGCAATAGTAGCTGATTTATTGGAGAATCCTATGGCTGTAAACCATCAGCAACATGTATTAAACGACGCCTTATCCGATGTCAGTGTTTCTAAAGTACGCATTTCAAAAATCAACGTGAAGAGTGCAGTACATCGTACATCATCGATGGTACATTCTGTTGCGAAGGCCTCAAAGAAGGCAGTTCGGGCATGTAGGCAGCGATCTCACCCAGGCACACGACAAAATACTCAACGGCGTGCTTCAATTAGACTTGCACAATCCGGGAGAAGAGCAACTGATTTCGGTAGGCAAATTCAGTCGAGGTCTAGCTGTCCAGCACTTATGCAAGACATAGATCTTTACAACAACCAGCAAAACATTTATCCAGTGAATACAGAGAACTCTAGCGAGGGCAGCGGAACGGGGTATGCATTTAGTGAGACCATTACGGACGGAGAGCGTGACTATTTTGACTGGTTGGAAATAGACAGACGCTAGAGATACACCTGGAACGCAGCGTCTCATTCTGGAAGTGAATAATGCAGCGCTTGTCGAATTTCAAGATGAAATTATTATTTTTTAATATCAAGAAGAATTTTTAACTACCAATAACGGGTATTTCGTACGGTCGTAATCAACCGTGCACTAGCAAGCAAAACGGAAATCAATAGCAACAGGCCTATTGTTTCAATAAATAAAAGTTGCGATGTGAAGCTTGTTTCATAAGGTACCACACGACTTAAACATACTTATGTGTATTCGTATATAAACGTATTCGTATATATAAGACAAAATATATCGTTGTAAATAAACAAGATGCAATTCAGTTGCAACAGGCCTATTGTTTCAAAAAATAAAAGTTGCAAAGTTGAATCCGTTCTTAAATGTATCTCTTAATATACAAATATACTAAAATGCATTCGTATATGACTATATTCGCATACATAGGTTATCAGTGCATAAGGATAGACGTACACTCTAGATGTATATAAAATACACATTTTCTAACTATTATATAT